ATTTGTTAAGAATATTGATACACCTCTGAAGAATACCGAGGATCAGCTAGAGGTGTATAGATTTAAGCGCGTGCACTTTGGTGTTAATTCCAATCCCTTTTTGTTGGCGGCAAATATAAAGCTGCATATCCAAAAGTATAGAAACGTGTATCCGGATACCTTTCAAATTCTTGATACATGTATGTATGTTGATGATCTTGTTACAGGAACATATGATCTATCAGAAGCCTTAACAATTTCAAGGGAAGCAAAGGAAATTATGCGTGGAGCTGGGATGAACCTACGCAAATTGGTGACGAATGATAATCATTTAGTTAAAAAATGGGAAGAAAAAAATTTTGACAGTCATCCTCTAAGCTCAAATGAAAATATACTCAAAATATTAGGAATTCAATGGGATATTCAGGAAGATAGTTTGAGTAAAGAGGCTTCTTGTTTGACTGAAATTTCGAGAAGAAAAGAAGTACCAAACGCTTCATTCTTCAAACAGCTGGAAAAATATATGATCCCCTTGGACTCATCACACCATTCATTGTTAGAATAAAACTTTTACTACAAAAGCTATGGTTACGTGAAATACCATGGGATGCTGAGCTTCCTTCGGATTTGAATGACGAGTGGTGTCAATGGTGCAACATTAGTGTCAATGGTACAACATTAGTGTTCCAAGATTTGTTTTGGATTCATGTGATAAAAATATAAAGATCCATGTTTCTTCTGACGCAAGTCAAAAGTCGTATGGTGCAGCCGTTTATGTAAAAGTACAGAATCGAGAAAAAATTTCTCTGAATTTGCTGGCTTCCAAAAGCAAAGTTTCACCTGTCAAAAAAGTTTCCCTGCCTCGACTGGAATTGCTGGGTGCACCGATTGCATTCGGTTCATCTAATATCTTTTTTTGGAGTGATTCTAAAGTCGCAGTGTATTGGATTAAACTTTAATCTGCGCAAAAGGCTCCTAATTGGTTGATGGGTTTGCCAGCAAGAGACACGGATAAGCCTCAATCGCTCTTCTGGCTACATACTATGAGTCGTGCAAATTACAAACTGGTCACAAGGTCAAGTTGTGACGTCACGGTATACATACGAAAACCCATAAGGAAAAAAAGGGGCAGATTGTTTTCTGATTTATTATTTTATTTTCTATAAATATATATATTAAGTCAATTATAAAAATATTTTAAATTTTTACGTACGCAGTTAGATATGTGTGATTTGCGTATTAAGAATTGTTTTTTCTTCGAGTCCCAATAGACCCCCATTTGACCCCTTGGGTCAGATAGACCCCTGCTGTTGTTAAACAGACCCCTAGGGGTCTATATAGACATTTTGGCGACCCCTGGGCTAGAGGTTTCCCTTTATATAACAAACACTTAAACGGGGGTATGAATTCATGGGTGTAAACGCACATTCCCAGTTTCCTTGTGCCGTTATTTTCTTGCTTAACTGCTGTTGGCTGGTTCTCAATCATTTCTCAATTTCTGGCCCTATTCATTCCTTCTCGTAACAACATGGCTACAAAGTAGAAGCAAAGAAAAACAGAAGATAAAATCCACCGTGCATTTCAAGTTCAATGGACTGATACTTTATAAGAAAAGACGTTATTTTCGTTTATTCGAAACTCAAGCGGCCTTCTGACCTGTCTTATTTGTCAGGAAAAATTCGCTAATAACAAGAAATCAAATGTGGAGACACTTCACAATTAAACACGTGTCATTTAGTGCTAAATATCCTGTTGATGTCAGGAAGAAAGCAGTCGAGAAACTTCAGAAAAGTCAAGGAAAATCAAGTTCTATATTTAATTACTGGATGCAATCTTCCAATAATGTAAATATTGCAGGTTTTGTGATTAGCCAAGAGATTGATAAAAGAGGGAAACCATAATGCATAAAAAGTTGTTTTATAAATGCATCCAAAGAGCTATTTCAATATTTTAAGAATAAAGCGGATATTCTAAAAAAATTAAAGAGTTACCATGTCTTCTAAAACAGTGAAAGATATAACAGTCAAAATGTCTTCGAATATAACCAACCAGCAAGTCGAAGACCTTAAACTGGTTTCAGCTTTATCAATGATAGTTGACGAGTCTTGTGACATAAATGATATAACACAAGTTTAATTTTTTGTACGATTTATTTCATCTACAGGTCTCAAAGAACTTTTAGGATTACTGCCATTCAAAAGTCAAACACGTTGAGAAGATATAACAAATGCTGTAAGTGGATGCATTGAAAAACATCATGCTTCACTCGATAACATTATCTCGGTTGCAACAGACGGGACGAAAAGTATGACCGGCGTATAAAACGGGTTTGTTGCTATTTTGAAAGAAAAAAAAATGTGACGAGTTACCATTGTATAATTTCTCAAGAAGCGTTTTGCGCGCAGACATTTCCAGAAGAAATTTGGAAAGATACGGAATTGGTGACATTATCAACTCCATTATAGGTAAAGTTCTTAATAATCGCCATTTTAAAAAAGTTTTCGTTGAAATAGAGAGTGAGTGTGCAGATCTGCTGCTGCGCAACAAAGTACGTTGGTTCTCAAAAGGAAACGTTTCGCGTCCTTATTAACAGAAATTAAAGCATTTCTCCTTGAAAAGGGTGTTTATTATCCAGAGCTAACGAACGATCATTGGATCCAAAAATTACGTTTCATGGTAGACGTTACATCTCATCTAAATCAGCTTAAACTACAGGGGGAAGGAAACATAATGTTTTCGATGTTAGAAGATGTTATTTCATTTGAAAACAAATTACCTCTTATTGCTCAAGATTTTGAAAGAGAAACTTTGATACACTTTCGAAGCCTCTTGAAACGTCGCCAAGAAAATAATTCTGATATTGACATTTGCTGTTTCAAAATAACAGTTTTAAATGTGAAAGAAGTTTTTCTCAGCGGGTTTCAGGAATTCAGAAATAACAAAGCGACGTTAGCTTTTGTTAATAAAACTCTTAATATTACTGTAAGAGAATTAAAATTTTCTTCCTTTAAGCTGGAGTAAAACAAATATGAGCTTAGTTCATAGCACAAATGGTCTGCTTTGAAAGATCTGGAGAAGATTTTAACACATGGAACAGTATTCCTGCCTCATACAATCAGCCGATAAAACTAGTTTGCTATTTTTTCTCTATTCGGGCTTACATATTCATGCGAACAGTCATTTTCAACCATGAACCTTATGAAGAGTAAATTGAGAAGTCTTCTTATCGATGAGAGCTTGGAATCGTGCTTGAAATTAAAAACAACAACATATAAGCCTGGGTTACACAAACTTTCCAAGGAGATGTAAGGGCATTGTTCGCGTTAGTATTTGTTCGTCATTATCATGATTTAAGTTTTTGGATACGTTACAGTTTTATTTTATCAATAAATAGTATCATTATTAAATGTAATATCAAGTTTTGTAATTTAACTAACTAAAAAACTGAAGTAGTAAGTTAATTTTAGGAAGTGTTGCCGCGTGAAAAAAAATGTAGTGTTGAGAATTGAGAAAGGTATGTTAAGATGGTTTGGATACATAGTGAGTATGAATGAAAGAAGATACACGAAATGAGTATACAAAAAAAAAATGTGGATGGAAGAGTTGGAAGAGAGTCGACCTCAGTGATCGTATGTTGATTAGACTGAAGAAGTTCTTAGTAAAATCCAGCGTAACAGTACCCTAATTAAGTGCATAACAATATACCTACCTATATAATTTAAATTTTAAAAAATGTGGCTCTCAAAAGAGATTTTAATTCTTCAACTGTTGATAAATGGCTCTGTTGTCTAATTAGTTTGCCGACCACTGCCCTAAGCCAAAAGAAAAGATCCTCGCTTGTATTTTCTGTAGCGGATCTCATGTCAGCAGGTATCATGGTTGCCTAGAATCTAAAAAGAATTTGCCGAAACTTCCAAAAAGGACTGAGCAAGATACAGTATATCAAATCCTGAAGACCAAGGAAAACTTTCTGGACTATTGAAAAATTCAGAAGGCACCACTCCCATTCGAAACAGAGAAAATACAGCGAAACAGTAAGAAATTACACAAAAAATTTAGAAAGAGTCGAAGAAAGTTCAGCTGATGTAAACTGGATAAGCATGATGAAAGAAGTATTCTCCATTTTAAAAAAAAACTTAAAGGAAACAAAGTCTCCCGCAGAAATGTTGACCATTATCCTAAAAAAGCAGCGGAACTATTCATGAATTAATTCGCTCAAAACGATATCGAAGACAATCTCCAGCTCGGCAGCACAGATGAAATTTTATCACGGTCGTCTGGAATCAAAGAGTTAACCACATTTTGCGTCACCAGATGGCGGCGCAAATTTCACTTTCCCCCCTCTTTATGGGCGAAAGAGCTTTGCGCTGTTAACGCCTTACACCACGACTTTAGGGCTATAATTCCAAAGCATAGCTAAATAGCAATTTTTTACTAAAACACTTAGAATAAATTCTTTCATTTGGGCTAACGTGATTTCAGTATTGTCATTTTTAAAGTCTCTTTCCTCGGTAGTTCAGTCTATTGGGCAATTTTTTTATTTCTCTAAAATTCTTTAATAGAATATAAAACAATTTACAAATAAGAACTTTTTGGAGCATGTAAAATTAAATTTCATGCATAGTAAAATATATCGAATGAGTCAGTATTGATAAGCTTAACTTATTTGATTTCTTAAATGAAATTATCTACAAGTAATCGTTTAACAGATATTTAATCGTGGAACCCTTATGCAACTACCAATATATATATAACTATACTATATATATGTAACTACAACTACCGTGTTTTCATCAGGGGCAGATCGCATGTACATTGCATATGATGATGATAATGATTCATCCACTTGCAACTGAATCTGGCAGGCAACTAATAGCAGTACTGGTTTCAGCCGCTATCTATAGTTAGCGATTTTATGAAAGTCCGTTAGAGATGAGCAGACAATCATTAAAAAAAGTAATGGATCTGCAAAACTGTAAATATTAATAGCGTAAAAAGGCAAAAATAAAGTTTACTTACCTCGTTTTTCCCTCGGAAGTATATTCAGCACATAAAACCAGTATTAGTACACCAATTTGATAGTTTTTCAGTATTTTGATAGCTTTTCAGTAGAATCTTCAAACATGAGTTTCAGATAGGAATTTACGATACTAGTGGAGGAGCATTTCTTTAATAATAAGGCTTTTCTATCACCTATGGTACAGAAAGATCTTGATGGATACACTGATGACTCACACGCTCATGATTAAAAACAAGTAAAAAAAATCCAGCAGCAAAATATCAATATGGATGCTTATAATATTTTCAATTATTTCATTAAAACTTTTTTCCCCCAAATGTTTATGAATTATCAGTGTAGGAAATTCCTTTGGATAGTGTTTATAAATACTGTTTGTAAGCTTATCTGTCAGTTGTCTTGCTTGAAAATTACGTTTCGACGGCAAACATAGGTAGTGCTGAAATGCGTAAAGAACAAACAATATTCATAATCTGTTTGTGGACCAGAATGAGATCCTAAGTAATATTCTCAGATTAAACGAATAAAGATTTCTTGTAGTTCGTATTATTATATACAGCATTGTATTTTTGATTTTGAAACACAGGAAGCAACCCAGCAGGCACCTGGTTTTCTTTGCCAGACCTTTGTCTGTTCATAAGACGATCTCCAAATATACCTTGGGATTTACTATTCTCTCCGAACAGTGACTCTGGAATATCCAAGATAGCAGTAGAAAGATGGAACTTGGGGATTGTCGGCACCTCATCGTTGATCGTCGTCTGAAATTTATATCATTATTATTTTCAGATACAAACAAAAGCATTAAATCTTTAATAAATTAATAATACAAGTGACAAGGCATTATCTTAAAAAAATTGCAAATTTTTTCATATCAAACTTCTCTAAGTGACCTGCTATAAAACAGTCCTTTTCAAAGATGTAAATTGATTAAACATTTTAGAGAATAATTTTTAATCATATCTTCATATTCTGGGACTCCACGAGAACTTATAAGATCATAATAGGATAAATTTGAATAATTGGCAAGATCCAACCTATAGCGTTGGGTCCAAAACGAGGTGATTTTGCTTCAGAAGTGCAAGTTTGTTCTTACGATATAAAGACATTATTTTGTACTAATCAATTATTTTTATTTTGAAACTTTCCTTTCCCTTCTGATTTCAGTTTCCTGTCAGAATGCAAATTTATATGCAAAATCTCAGTGAGTTCGGAAATAGTATTTAAGTAGCAGAATTGAAGGGTTAGAAGTAGAAAAGTTCGTTACGAGCAGGAGTTTTCTTACCCCGAGAACGAGTTTATACTGCGAAGCGAGATTTATATCGCGTGTTTGCAAGTAGTTCTGTAGCTGAATATTTATACTAGCCACTTACGTTTAGATTATTTCATATTTTAGATTCGGCTTTGCTGTATGCAGACGATAAATCTGATTTAGATTGAAGTAGGAGCCAGGCGTGTAGCTGAACTTTTGATTCATCCTGATTGCACATACTATTTTGTGTTTCACAAGTAGTGGTTAGTTTGTGAGCACCGAGTGTGTGCATGTTCAGTTCAATTTAGTTAAACGAAAAATTTTATTATAACCTTCGTCAGCAGTTATCTGTTTTTTCAAGGACATACTGAATATAATACTGACTGTAATACAAGGACATACTGAATGTTTTTAATTTCAAGCATGCTTCCAAGTTCTCATCGATAAGACGACTTCTCAATTTACTCTTCATAAGGCTCATTCTTGAAAATGACTGTTCGCATGAATATGTAGGCCCAAAAAAAGAAAAAGTAGCAAACTCTAGTTTTATCGGCTGATTGGTATGATGCAGGCATACTGTTCCATGTGTTAAAAATCAACATATCTTCCTTCTCCAGATCTTTCAAAGCAGACCATTTGTGCTGTGAACTAAGCTCATACTGTAGACCCTACTGAAGACGAGACAGCGAGAATTCGCTGTCTCGTCTTCAGTAGGGTCTACATTTTATGCACTCTAAACAATCAAGACTCTATAAAGAACGAGAATTATTCTACCGTATTAAATTTTAGATTGGCTCGTTGTACTGATATTTCATTAACAGATTACTTGCTATCGCTTTATTGGTCTGGAACTAATAGACAAGTTTTTTCTTGTTTCCTTGAACGTTTTGTTTAAAATAATAACATTTTTCTCTAAATACCGTAGGCAAAATTTTCTAACATTTTGTTTTTCAAAATTATTTTCTTCTTATTGAACAAACATTAATTTATTCCTCTATTTAATAGCTGTATTTGTTGCTTACTTGTACTGACGTACCTTTAATTTATCTTTAACATTAAACTCTTAATGGTTAAATTATGCATGAATCACGATAAAAAAAGCAGTAAAAAAATACATTTTAAGAAAGCAGCTAGTATTAACAATTATTTCCATTTGTATTTTTACAATTGAGTGTTATTCTTTAATTTTATACTACAGTTACGTCCTTAATTTATATACTGCAGTCAAGTACTCAGTCAACAACGTTAGACATAGAAATTTCAATACCATGAAATAGGTAACGAAAGGAAATGAAAATTTACAGAATGCCAGCGCATCTTAGGAAGAGAAAAAATGAAACAGTCTTTCATGCATTATTAACACAGAATCATTTATGCTTCCCGAGCATCGATGATTAATGTAATTCGCGATTTCTTACGATGACAGTATAGGAAAGGAAAGCCTTGACAAAGATAATCTGTGAAATTTTTTTTTCCATTTTAAATTTCTACATGATCAAAGTTATTGCTAACCTGAAGTTAGTTTTGAGACTATTAGTACTTTTAGAAATCGTGAGCAGCGTGACATCTTTCATATTTTCTACATAAATAAATATGAGTATTTTTTATTAAGAAAGAAGAATGGAGCCAATGGAATTTGACAGTACCAATGGAAGGTGACACAGATAAACTTAATTGTCTGCGGAAAAGTTTTTCCATTTAGTAGTCTCATATATTCATAGTTAAATGCTAAAGAAAGTTAACATTTCAGAAACATCTTATCAGTGTGTCCTTAATGTGCTGTACAGGGAATAAGTTTGACGATCTTCAGTGTATGTGTGGTTGTCGATAGAATATTCATACCTTGTAAAATCATTTGAAAACTAATCAAATCTATCTGTGTACTATTACACTCTAAAAGAGTTGGATATAATGTTAAGAAATGTCGCAAAATGCCGTTTCAAATTTATTTTATGATCTTTTGGACGTTGCACCTGAGCAAATGCGGAAACGAACAAAATGCTATCTACAGTTATGAAACTGATTGCATTTTGGAGACAATTGCCGTTGCTCATGCTACATGAACAAGTTACATGTTATATCTGTCTTTGTACAAAATATGTGTTGAAAAGTCATACGCTGTTAAAGAATATTTGCTGATTCCCTTAATTGCTCCCCCCACTGAAAAACCATTAAGTGGCAATTTCATAAGCAGAATTAAAGGTGGCGAAATAATTCCTTTCTGTTTATCATGGTTAAAACTGGATACCCATTTAGAAAACAAAGTGGTAAAAACCATTTTGCATAATAAAGATGTATATGCAGTAGATACTATACAGGAAAAATTGTGAAAGTAATGAAAAATAAGCGTACAAATACGATTTCGTTCGTGAGAAGGAAAAGATTGATTATTATTTTTTTAAATCTAAGTATAGCATCTTAAGAAAGATATATCAAGTGTCAGACAAAAAGCATTTTGCATTTAAAGCTAAGATTAAGTAAGGAAAGAACTAATTATTATTTTTTTTTTACCTAAATATATCATATCGAGAAAGTATATGAAGTGTTAGCCAAAACGCAATCTGTATACCAAGCAAAGCTTAAGTGAGGGAATATTATTTTTTGTTTAAAACACGTCAAAATAACTGAAATTTTTTTTTAGATTTTTAAACACAAAAATGATAAAACTGTAGGGGCAACCTTTAACTTTCGAAAGTGAAGGGGGGGGAAGAAAAAAAAAACACGCCGAGTTGCTAAACATTTTTTGAAATCTTTTATTTTTAACAAGAATAAGGTTTTATTAAAAAGAAAGAAGTATTATAATTTCATCAGCTTTTATGCAAAATAAGTTTTTTACAAATCAACAAAGTTTAGAGGCAATAATTTCTAATTTTATAAATTATTTGTTAAACAGAAGATAGTAATCACTTCTCAATAATATTAATAAAAGCACTTAGCCCTGAAGAATAAGAATTAAATTTTTCTCAGTAGCTAAAAAAGAATGCTGAAAGCTTAAAGTTAGTTTCTGCAGAGAGAAGAAAAAAAGTATTATTTCAAAAGTAAAAATTCAAATTTAAGCAGTTGCAAAATTTTCAGTTTTCCATGTGTCCAAGAACAGAGAGATGAAAGGGCGATTGCTTAAAGAAAGTGAAGTTAAAAATAATGGAGGTAATTACTTCTGAACTAACAGGTCGGAACTTTGCAAATTCCAATCGGCTGTAAGAGACATATTTAGAGTTTCGATTATTAAAGTTGCCATACCTTTGAAATAGAGAGAGAACTTTATTTCAAATAATTTTGAAAATTAAGACCTATTCATGAAACGGTTCAATCTATGTGTTTAAAAGATTAAGCATATTTAAATTGTGTGATTACAAAGAAATAATGTTCTAAATGAAGAGGATGTAAATTTATGGATTCATGTTATAAAAACGTATTTTAATTAGTTGGCTAAATTCCGTACAACACATACATACGAAATTAATGTCGTCGAAACTATCATATATTTAGCATATATTTTTAACTAGCATATATTTTTATCAGGTTCTCAGTTAAAAAAGAAGACATTTGTATTTTATCAGAAAATTAGGAATTACCATTTTTCAGTGATTAAGGAAGACATTTTTGAATTCTTGCATCTTATGACTAAGAAAAAAATGTATATATAATGCAATGGTAATGTTATACTGTTTTTCAAAATACAAAATAAGATTAAGAAAAGATAGCCATGGTGAGATTTATCTTAAAAAATCTGATTAGCACACCACATGACTTTCTTGTACGGAATATTAAATTATGCGAACTTTTCCTGCATTTCATTTAAACTTATTTCCTCGAGTTTCATTAGAGATATATTTCTCATTCAATTAATTAAATTCTCACTTCACGACAAGCCAAAACTACATAAAAACTCAAAATATCTATATTAAAATTGAAAGATATAGAAGAACATAACATACCAAATACAATTAAAACAATTGAAGAACAATTTTTACAATTAAAATTACAGTTTCTACTCAACAGCAAGCAATTCGGCCAGCGTGCAGAAAAGGAGATTTTTCGGTGCACAAAACTGAACTCTTACTTTTGGTCTCGCTCGGCAAAAAGACAATGAAGGCGTAGAAACTGACTTTATTTGTTGTGGACGCTGTGTTGAGTCAATATATGGGATAATTTAATAACTTAGATGATAATTCCAGAATAGATTAAGCATGATTTAATTTGCAATAATAAAAGAAGATGTTACTTTGTTGATGCGAAGCTAAGTTTCTCTAGATTGACAACAAATCCAGCATTCTTTTAAGTTTCAAATGTAAACAAATATGGAGGCTATGGTAAAAAATTAGGCTTAGCCGCACTTAAACAATTTTTAAATTGTTGATAATTCTACAATTATTGCATGTAGGTTAATTAAAGGCATAAAAACATTGAGCTCATTGAGACACGTAACAGAATGGATATATATATATATATATATTTATATTTATATATTTTTGGTGTCGCCGACTGCAACCAAAATACGAGATGCAC